TACTTCGGCCATACTTTACCATATGCATGCAAGTGTATCATTATATCGCACTTGCCGTAAATCTATTGCTAGTTAGCCATTTTCAGTGGGAGATATTAATTTGTTTATCCGAACAGAAGGCGTGAGCGACATAAGTCGTATGCTGAAGTGAATCTAGTACAGAGACGCCTTAGGCAGACGCCAGGTGGGACTTCTTAATGCCAAATCGATGTCCTTAATAATAGTAATCAGCAAATAATCACGATACGCAGGTAATAATTGCTTCACTCGACAAGCACTGTATTTAATGGCGTCGTCAATGTACGAGTTTAGATTGTCTTCTCTAGCTTTCCAAAGCGGCGACTGCAGCAGAAAGATTCGTGCAGGTCTCAAGGCAGCGGCACTGACCTTGGCCCTTTGTCATGAATAGAAACCCACATGGCTTTGCACTTACAATATCGTAGTTGTCTATGATTCTGAAGCATTATACTTTTACTATCTGTAGTTCATTTTTGCGCCAGTACCTATCATAATCTTTTAACTGTCAGTGTTTTGACCCGATTGAATTTTCTCATAGGAATGAGTTATACAAATGCAAATTTCTAGCAGTTATATGGATATCTGTGGTACATCCGTAGTTTCAAGATATCAAGCGGTGGAAAACCACTAGAGACATTTTTATGCAAGCTTAATGCGTGCGATAAGGGTCGTCCGTCCACAGCGCCTGCCGTTACAGTGGGTACATATTGGTCATCTGTCATATCAAATGTTAAAAAAAAAAAAACACAGAATCGGATTGCCTCCATTCACCTATGACGAAGTATCCACTATTGTTCTCGATTTTATTGTACTACATCGATGTTATACTGTACCGGAGTATTGTAGGAGCTCAGCTTTACAGAATCAACCTGGACCGCTTTATTTAGAGATTCCTAGAGGGTCTCTAGGCAAAATGGGCTCAATGTTGACAAGTTCGGTTCTGTATTTCACGCTCATATTTCCACGAGTCTGAAATTATTTTACATGGACATACATCTCTTCATATGTCGTGATCTTCTTCGAACAAACCCAATCAGCCCAGACGAAGAAATCCACACGAAGACGTCCACATTTTATATTTATGTACACGTTTACTTTGTACACTTATTCGTTTTGGTTGTTATTTAGCACGTTATGCCATTGTGCTTAAATGACATAACTGCCACAATAATGATTCACTCATGTCTTCGTTCTTTAAATTAACACACGATTACATAATTGTATGCCCTTAATTGGGCTGTTTAATTGTAATTCAACAGGAGTCATTCGTAAATGTACATAATCACTACCCATTTTAATGTAGGTCTCCATTTTCAGTCCAATTTCAAACTGGTACCTTCGTAATATGCCCTTCCCAGATGTTAGAAAAATTTGACCAAATATCAAATTATTGAGTATCTGAAAAAATCTTAATATGAGTTTACCGTAAAATATTTAGCGTAAGAAGCCTTTCGATAAGATTTATCTCTGAACTAGCGGACAAGCCTTTTTCGCGTATGTTTATTTCACGTTAAATGTTCGGCAAGTTGTTACACCCGGTTCCCCTATGTTTGTTAATTTAGCCCTACATTTGTACCACTGTGAACGTTTACACGGCTCTAGGCTTTCGGGAACAGCTCGGCCAAAAATCAGGTCACCATCGTCTTTTGTGCGCCTGTGAAGTCTATGTGCTTAATACACGTATACTGTACTGACCATTCCTTAACGAAGCGTTCGTCAGATCGTTACATCGGAGTCTAGCCGTAATCAGCTCAAGGATATGATTCTGAAATTAAAAATAGGAAATTTAACGAAAAGCCAACATTTCCATAACTTCAGAACAGCGAAGATTAGATTTATCACGTTTACATATTCTTTAACCAGTCAGGGTTTGACAAAGGCAACTTGGCCGATACTTTGGCTCCACCTAGATAATCACATATGGCAAAACTCGTACAATAGATCAGAGAATCTTCAAAGCTCCTATTCAGTTTTCGAAACGGTCCACATCGCTTATACGACAGCCAAATGATCATCACCATCATGTGACCTTGCCTGATCTCCAATGACTAGGCTCCTTCTGTTCAGCTTATCGAAGCTAAATCGACGCCGATAAAATGTCGGCAAAAGGCGAAGTTAGAAATTCGATTAACTAAATCAAGTTATTGGCAAGATGTATCTAATCCATCTAAAATTTTCGTGCGTCTCCTACGATAGTTGTCGTCGTGATGTTTACATCGTACCGTTCGCGTGTTTTCTTCGAACATAATTTTCTATTTCTGCATATATGCGGATAATGGCAATACTAATCAGCATCTCATCCGAAAGCAAAGTGCTACATTTCGCCTCGTCGCTATCTCCTTATCGGCGAACATGATTATATGCCTTAGCATGATCCTTCTTTCGTCGTCCTTTAGTGGTTATGAATGATAGCCAGTTGTACGTCTAACATGACCTGCCACTTAGTAATAGCCACAGCCGACACGCACATGCGTACAAACGCCCAAAAACACAGACTTAGAGGTACTATCGTAAATCGCAGAAAAAAACAGAAGATAGATTGTCACAGCTTAGGCAACAACGAACGGTAATTCCAACTAAATCCAAACAAAGCATCGGAATACGTCGTCGGTAACATCAGGTCGCGGGTGCATTTCAACTCTGAGTGGTCCAGTACATTTTTTATGATATCAACCCAATCTGATCAGAAGGCCCAAGTTCTGACTAAGACGGCAGCTCCCACGAACACTTGCATTTAATGCGATATGAATAAGAGGCCGTCTTCGAAAAGGTATGTATACAATATAACTAGAAGGTCATGCTTTTGTGGGAACCAGACACTGAATGCGTTTTGATAGCTATGAAATAAAATGGCGGTGTCCTACTTCATGAAACAATGAGTTGTAGACGAGAAGAGTTACCAAGAATCCTATACGTAAAGTCAATCTAAATTATGGCCAATAGATTCTAATGTTTGTTTCGATGGATCACGGGAGCTAATTGGGAAGGTTTGTCGAGGTGTTGCCGTAAGCGAATATGAGCGTGTTTCGTTAAATTTTTTCTGTATTTTTCGCTGTCGAAGTTCATGAAGTGTCAAGCTCAAAAATTTGCAGCGCTAGCGTCCGGTAACGTACGTAACTGCGGAGATTCCGCAACTATTGCCTATTGCTATTGTAATAATGTGAAATCAAGGTCTTATTGTTGTTTAATTCCTTTTGAGCTGCTTTCTCTTAACCTGCTCTATTCTTTCTTTACTCATACAACAATGTGCGCTAAGATAGGCATTTCTCGATTTGCATATAATATGCCTTCTATGGGTTCGATTTCTCCAATCTTTGCCCTCTATCGAAATCCGTTTAGGAAGGCTACGTTGTGTTACCAACCTTGAAAATGCAGAAAAGACAAGCATCTGAAGTCACTTGTTGTTACCGTCGTTTTTTTGTGAACTAGAATGATGTAGCATTAAATTTGATGCCATTTCTTCGTCTTGATGGAGCCCTTTGTCGATCTATCAATATACAAGTGTTCCATGCTCTATGCGTTAGCCGTTTCGTAGAATTACAGACAGGAAAGATTATTACTTCTAACTGTAGACGGTATCGGCGACACAAAACACGTGTTACTCTCCTGCGGAAAATCAGATCCGTATATAAATAACAAAGCATTGGCGCTCAGGAGTTAGCGTGACCATATAATCATAAGTTTTATAGCCAGATGTAGACAACAATCGAGTGCCCTATATCGAAATACGTAGCCATTATCTCTCGGTAGACCCGTATTTATTGACGGCTATTGAACGCATGCGCTCAGTGTGTTAATGTCTGTCTACTTGATGACTGCTTTTTCGTTGCTTTAAAAGATATTTAAAAGGAGAAAAAAAAATAGTAAAAAGCTATCTACAAGGGTAATTCGAAACCAAGGGCAAATATTACAGGGTTTGATAGGGAAATTTTCTCTCGGTGATTTTTAAGTGGAATGCCACCGGTATGATACCGGACGTAAAACCCGGAACGTAGAGGTGGTTCTAATTTATTCCAAATATTGAAATTGTTACGCTGATAGATTTTGTCATGGTAAGCGGTGATAGGAACGACTAACCGAAAAAACAACTGTTATTCTATCTAAATATTTTAGTTAAATATTTACAATTTCCAATTGTGCGAAGAAGATTTCTTTAACATCTAGCAATAATATGCAATAGACTTTTTCCCAAAATTTCCTCTAATATTCTAAATATCTATATCTCCTAATTTTACATTGATCCTTGTACAAGTCAATGTTTGTCGGTTGCCAACTGAAGGAGATGTAAGTCCGTTTGTTAAGGATGAACGGACTAACTAGAACAAGCAGGATTATATCGGACCGAGGTAGACCTTCTTCGAAAAGATTAAGCATTGATTTTTGCTCACTTTTTGCCATCTACTGTTTTATTTAGACAAATACACAAATATCTCGCTTTTCCTATTGTGATCTCAACGATAATATCACGATGATGTTCTTGTTCTACTAGATATTAACCAGCTGTTCGGTAGTTGATTCACAGATCGCTTGCTAAAATTGCTAACAGCCATAATCATTAGGATAGCTGGATCTATCCACTTTGGACGATGACAAGGATTCTCTGACATGACCTTGTCAACGGGTAACCGGTCAGACGAATGGTTTATTTGTGTGAAACGCTAGTTTTCGCGCGAAATTTAAAAACATTTTTGAATACCATCGCCAATATCAGTACAATATGATCATGACTCAGATCTCACCAATCATTCACACGAAAGCTTTTAACACGTATTTATCGTGCGAGTAACAAATTACGTATATTTGAACATTAAAAATATTAACGTCAATATGAAGACATTTCTTCTTAAGCGGACACATCAATATACTTACTGATTGTCAAGCTCAGCGATTTATATCAATTTCGATACTGCTAACCTTCTGCGTTATTTTGAATTCACTAAAGTGCCTGATTCCTCTTGCACAGTTAGTAGGTCCATTTTCAGCTATTTCAGCAGGGACCACTAGCCTCCAGCTTGTCTTTCCAACGCGTGGCACTCAGCCTTGATTTATCCCTCCGGCCATCCAAATTTTACTGGACACGACCGGAATGGTACACCGAGCGAATGGATTACATTCCCAGATAATCGCGTTCAGGTTAGCTGCTTTAAGTAGACCATAGACTATTTTCAACAGCTGAGATCTTCAATAACGGAGACATGTTAGGCTAGCTTCAGAAAAGTGTTTTACTTCGTGAAAATGAAGAAAAAGTAGGGAAACGCTCTTTTTATCGGGAACAATAATGATGTATATCTGAACCTGGTTAGCCGTTACTGTTAAAAAAGGCATTCAATTATGAACGATTTGGCTGTTTTGTTGTTGACATCCATCACAGAGGTTACTTTCCGATGCATCAGTTGACGTTCGGAGTTCTTTCTCTCGTATCTGCCCGGCTTATTGTTATTTAAAAACGTATAAAAGAGCTAATTTTGCATTCCATTCGCCCGTAGATAATCGCGGCACCGGGACTCGAAAATGTCCACATGTGAGATACTGCATCGTGTCATTTCACACTAAGCCCGACATTGAATTATGTGATTTATAGCAGAAGCTATACATGTGGCCTAATGTTGAATTAGCGACCGCGCCTGCCGACCTGATGCCAAAATCCACGATCTGTGTTTCTAGCGAACATAGCGGAAAGTTATATTCTTACCTTTATCGATGCTGATGTCTACATATACCTGTCTCATTGCAGTAAGTATATACAAGTTTCTTTCATACGTAGTATAGTGGTATTCTACACACCTAGAATGTGCTAATATATTTGATAGAGTTTAAGGCACAATCTAAGCGTATTCAATGTTCTGTCCCTGCTCTCTGCAATACTTGGCCGATTCCACCGCGCAAGCTTTGCTGTTTCAATCTCTCATAGCTATAATCGCGCTCACGGATGGACGGCCTAGATCTTTGGCGTCAAAAGGCACTATACCAGCCTTCTCAGGAGCAACTTATCTACTGTATCCTATTCGAATCTAAATTAAAATCATGAGAGCAGGTAAATCGATTGGTGATCATGGTCGAGAGAATTCGGCAAGCCCTTCCTACGTATTAGCGAAGCGGCATAGCCGACAACGTAACCAGCCTATTCGTAGGTAAGAGGAGCGCGTATCATTGTTTCTAAGACCATCATATCCTTACAGCATAAACGAAATAACTGTAACTAGAAGAGACCTATATCTATGCCGAAGAGGACGACTACGTGTACGTGCTATAATTTTACTAAAGCCATACAGAGCGATGGCTGAAAATTGAGCAACGTGCTTATATACGATATCGTCTAGAGACGTTCGTAATAAAAATCCCATGGCCTAGACCTGTTTTCAGAGCGACTGCACGCACGCGCTTTCGCTGGGCTTGCAGAGCCGACGTCCCACTCAACGCTAACCTTGGAGTCTATAATTCTGCTTGACCGTCCCCAAAAAAGTCCAGGGCTGGGGCATCATTTAAGAAAGACTGTTTTGTGCTGCTGAATAGATATTAGCTCAAGGTAGTTCGTTACGCAGCGATGTGAGGCGCTGCTGTTACGCGACAAGTAGCGTCACCGCATGGGGGCGATGCTCCGCCTGCTGATTTATCCGATTCAGACCGCTACAAATAAATAGCGAGTAAAAATGTTTGCCTAATTCTACTAATAGCTAATATACGCTACAGCTAAACGAGCTAGACGCAACTATCCGACTTGTACTTCAGTACACCGATATGCTGATTGTGATTTGGTCAAAATGAGAATTTTTAATACTTTGTTCCTACTTGACGAATGTAAGCAGTCCACGAGGAGATGGCCTGATCTACACACTCTACATGCAAGTTGAAGTCTTACGATCACGATCACGCGTTTATTGATTAAGTAGACAAAGACCTTTGACGCAGATTAGATATGCTAACAGTAAGAGTCGTCATATCATCATCATCATAATGCAAATTGTCGTCTTAATAATAGATTTGTTTGTTTATTCAGTAAACACTCATGTACATAATATTGACAAACATCTGGCCATTATATAATACACCTACCAAGCTTGTAAGATTTTTTAAGCTGAAATAACCTACTTGGCAGGCGTGTTTGTGCTCTTTCAGATTGCTTTATGCTCATATATATATATATATATATATATATATATATATATAATCTCTGTTATAACGATTTCTCTTTGCAACGTTCTTATTCTTATTGATATTTCAGATCTGGAACTGTGGATTGACTAACTCAGCAACGTGCATCCGTACTCCTAATCGAGTACAGTCCGCTTAGCTGCTCTTGAGAGATCGAGGTAATTTTCATTAAGAATCAGCAATATAAAAACAAAAGTATGAATCCTAGAATGATCCGTATGGCGGTTGTGCTGGTCGCGGTGACTCTGATTACAGTTGAAGTAAACGCCTCAGAAGATAGTGAACGCAATACGATGAGCACGGCAACAGCTGGAAAACGCGGAAGCGACCCGAAGCCAGCCGATAACAAGGACTCAGATCATGGGAGCGGGGATGGTGAAGACGCAGATTCCGATAAGTACGGTAACTCGAACGATCATGAGTTCGTACTTCAATCAGTCACGGGCGCATCCCCTCAATGGAGTGATACTAAGGTTCCTATTCTGCGAGACGATGAACGCGTTCTTGAAGAAAAAACCGATCCTGACGCAAAATATGTAGGATCTAGCGAAAGGGTAATTGTATTTCATAACGAGCAGATGGCGTTTGTAAACTCGGCCGGTGGAGATGATCATGATTCTAGTAGTTCTCCTCAAACAGATCCACATGGTCACAGCCATAAGCACGATCCATTGCATGAACCTACTTCCGAACATGTCCCGACAGATAGTGGCCATGAATCTGCAGCGGATCAACTCCATGCAAAAACAACGAATCATGTGGCAGATTCTGCAGACGGTGATCTAAATGTGACAGAGCATGTAACGCATGGAAAAGAAGTCATGCTAAAGGAACATAATGATGGCAACGGTACGAATCAGTTGGTTGAAACAGACGAAAAAGACGCGAAGGTCACAACGATAGGTGCAAGTGTTTCGGGTAATACGAAACCTGAGTTAAATAAAGATTCTTATCTAATACCAACAGACAGCGAAACTGATAGCAGTGAGGAAGGTCATCACCACGCGAAATCGACCATTGTTCCAAGCTTTCCAAACGAAACAGAGAAGACACACGTAAACAATGCTGAAGTCGGTCCAGAAAACGCAAATAAGGTAGAAGACCCGGTTTCCATAACTGAGGGCGCCGCAAGCGAGCTCCTACACAATATCTCGTCATCAGGTATTGTAAGCACTGAAAGGACAAACGTTACAACGAAGGCTAATAATATTCAGACTGGCATGATTCCAGTGAAGTTTCACAATCCGCCGGTGTCATCAGAAGCGGTGGTGTCCTCTGCTAATGAAACCACTACCGAAGCGGTGCCTTCAACGACGACAATTGCAGGTATGAACGGTTTTACAAATGTAGGCGACACTAAAGATACTGATCCTGATCAGACCAGTGAAGTGGTGCCTGATCATGATAAGAAAAAGCTAGATTTAGATGCTCTGGACTCTCTGAAACTCACCAAAATCGTATTTAAAGATGGAGCAATAATTGCGTGCAAGGTTGACTGCCCGAAGAACGGTCGTCGTCCCACGATAACATGCTTGGGTCCACTCTGTAATAAGGCTCCCAGAGTAACTATGATTACGTGTTACAATGAAGGAAATGAAACACACAAAGCAGAGAACCTGGAGAAGCAGAAAGCTAATCACTCTAATTCTAGTTTGAGACGTTTCGCGCTACCTTTCCAATGGGGTTGTGGGGCGGACGAACTAGAATCGGAGTTTAAGGTGAAGGAACCACAGGTCTGGTGTGACGGTTACAAGTATTTTGGTGATCGATGGATTCTAGCTAATTCGTGCTCGTTGAATTACCGCATTGATCGTCTGAATAGTTCTGCTCTACAAGGGCTTGCGGAATCGAATTATGGGTTCATTACTGGTTCTCTGATTGCTATCGCCTGCTTTGGCGTTGCTCTCCTGGTCATCAAAGCAGCAATAGCGAAACAACGTCATGGAATCTGGTTTCCAGCGTATTCCGCTATACCCCTTAAGGCTCGCAAGAAATTTCGACGGAAGCGCCAAAACGATGACCACGAACCGGTTGACGTTAATTTTGACATGAGCGAATAGCGGACAACGTTACAAGGTTGCCAGACGCAAAGCTGCGAAAAAATTAATTGAGATGTCTCGCCTTCTACGTGTTACCGTTACCGATATGTTATCTGTGTAGGTCGGTGGCGGAAATACAAACATGTATGCAACAAAGGCGAATCGTTCGCCGAATAGCAAAGCGCATCAGCTTTATGGTGGAAAATACACGAGACAAGCTCAAAATTGCGCTCAATCAATAGCCATATTAAGAAGTTTTGTTTCTTGGCATTCGTGAAGATCTTCGACCGTTAGTATGATTCAGTACCTTATAAATTAGTGTTCGTAAGCCTTGTCGGTACTGTACAGAACTCCTATACAAGTGATTGAAGGTAAGCGATCGGTGCGTCAGCCATTGCAGTGTTAACCAATAGTTAATTAGTATCTAATCAAGCGTAAAAAAACAATAAACTAATAACAAATAGGTACTAATAGTATGAATAAGTTATAGGTACTTTTGTAAACTGACCTTAATTATTCGAAGTTGTGGTCTATGTTGCCAGAGCGGCTCACACACTCCATTTGTTTCCTACAAAAGTTTATACACACAGTTTGACTTTGTGGTCGTGTGCACTTAAAATTGTGGTCAAATAGTAGCGATAGATCATCAGTTCGTATGCGATTTTGTAAAGTATACTAAACGTAACAGATCTACCAGGACTGTCTGTAAGAAACCATGATTAGCTATTTTGTAGTTTTTAGTCGTGTTTTTTAAAATATTATAGTTATTGTAGAGAAAGCCGATGTATGTTTATAGTGGCACTATTGATCATAAAGAGCTTTGTACGAAAAAAAAGAGGCCTCTGGAGAAAAAAAGGAAAAAAAAAGAAGAGATGTTCACAGATCACATAAAAGTAGAAGGTGAAGTGATTCTTTATTGTTAGGCACAATATACATAAAGATTTATCGTGTCTTTACTTAGCTATAACTCTGTTACACTGAGAAAGACAAAGACTATATTCAACAACAATCAAGATAAATAAAGCTGTGGTATTTTTATTGAAAACCAGAAAAATGTTGGTCTTTCATTGTTAGCCGTATGGTGCCTTCGAAGCTGTGTAAACTGTTACCCCGACACCAGCGACTAATGACTCATGTCGCCATTAGTTAGACAGGTCAAGCTGAACCTGCAGGGAAAAAGACGAATACGATTGTCTTTCCGTAAATGTCGGCAAATTAAAATGAAAACTCTATCGGACCCAGATTTCAGTCAGATTTATTGTTCAGTAATAAAAACGTCTGCCATATGTTACCTATTTTGTTGTAACGTTTTTGAAGTAAACATGGCTATTTTGGTATCATCGTTCGATTTCCATATTGCCTTTTACTCTCTGTTGGGCTACCCATTTTTATTCATTTTAAGCGACCTTTTCCGTCCGACCAGCATAACCTTCCCCACATACCGATAATCACTTGGCTTCAACTAGCTTTTCTAGTATCCGCTCGAAAGGGATTGTTCTGAAGATATGAAGAAAGCGGGGGATGTGACGCGACCCTGCATATAACAGGTGTCGAATGTTTAGAGGCTTCTTTTTTAAAATTTCTCTCTTCACGTCAGAGACGGTAGTGTATTGGCACTGACCGGCCACTGAACGAAGCAGTCCTGCAAACGAACCCATCTGTACCCCTCGAAGCTTGAACTTTATACATTTCAGTCCTATTTTTTGTGTGGTAGGTTTGTTCTCATATATCTTAGACACAGCAAGTAGTTTTTGGTTTCATCCTCACATATATATGTATATATATATATATATATATATGTGAGTTATGGCTCACATATGTACAATAGAATAGCGTTTCATTTGCGGAAGTCTCGCTTATTTCGTCAGGCTGAAGTGGCGGTTCAGCCAATTTCGAACGAATGGTCTTTCACAGTCCGCAGTAGGATTTCTAGATCTGCTTTAGATAACTTATCGTCACATCATTTAAATACAAGACAACCCCTACTGCTCTATGTGTTGACAAATAGATTTAAATATACTTGTTAATTATTTCTTTTCTATATATTATTGTCGGGGCTGACTGGCGCCCTAGAAAGAACGGGCTTTGCGTTTCCGTATATATATTATTACAATGAATTATATTATTAATACTATGCTTATATAGGAGCCTTACGACGCCGTAATTGCTTTTAATTATAATAGAAATTATTATAATATGGCTTAGCTATCACTGAACGACAGAAAGCCGTTCTGCTTTGATACTTGCGTTCGTGTTCCCCATATATATAATGTATAATATCTTAGTGTAACGTTTCCTTGATTCTTTTATAATGTATTCATGTGTATTTGTGTTTTTTTTTCCTTTCGGCATATTCTAGTTGTTCTCATTTTGTCTTGGTATCAGTGCGTCACTTTACCTCGTTTTGTTGTTGTTTGACCGTGTTTGTTGTTTATGTAGTTGTGATGTAGACAAAAAAAAAAAAAAAAAAAAAATGAGAATAACCATTTATGACGGGGTCTAGCATACAGCTGTCTACCTGCCTCTACTGGATTCACAGGGGATATATCGTACTACGTATATTTGGTTAGCATTTTTAGCTACCTAATGTATTGATCATAATTTTATTTCGAGACAAAATTGTGCTTTGGACTCGATGAACAGCCTGATGTCCTGCAGCTTCCTACACTTTCGCGTCGATTAGGTAGTTAATGAATCCATCCCAGCACCCGGCACACTAGCTTTTCCTTTTTTAACATAGAATTTATGATAGAAACAAAAATTATGGTTATAATAGAAGGTCAAGCATTGTGGTAGCAACAAACGTCTGCCTCATCAATGGCCATTCATGTGGCTGTTAAGCAGCTGCCGCTTGTTCGAACAGATGAAATCGATGACTCGAGATGGATGGGTAATTTTTCTCTATGATACTAATAAAGTTAGCGCACCCGCTCGCGTTCGGTCTCGATCGAAGTGGATCTTTTCTTGCAGCGACGGTATTTGGATGAAAACTCGTCGCCAAATACGTCACCTAAAATATAAGAAAGTAATACAACAGTGAGCGGACGTACGTATAACAGTAGGGCTCGAAAACATCTCTAGGGTCAATACCTATGCAAAAGAGACGACGTGAAAAATTAAGCAATGCCAGCAAAGGTGAACATATAGGGGTACGGTACCGCGTTCATCGTATCGAAGGAAATCTTATAAGATACAATAAATAAATGTATAAAATTGTTTTTAAGCTCGTTCCGCGCCAGCTGTGACACAATTGCAAGAATAGTGCCTGGAGTAAGTGAATGTTTGACTTGTATGGTAGATATACCATTGGCAGAAGACTGTTGAAATGCTGAAAGCGTTTCGAGAAACAAAAGGACGTCATGCCGTACCAGTTCGTAGAGCTGAGATCAGATCATCGAATTCTCCATGCTGCTGTTGATTTCCATTGGGTGCGCTTCCACTCTTGGAGTCTTTGCGTAGTCCAGCAAATCCCGATCCATCTGGAGACTGACGCTCTTTTTCCTTGTTAGCCTTTTCTTTACGCTTTGTCTGCAGCGAAAAATAATACACGAACTTTATTAAAACGGATTTCATTGTGCGCCACTAACTGCCCTCTAGCTTTTTGCAGTGACAGATGTTTCGATTCGCCTCTAAAGATTTAAAGTATATTATTTAAAGTTATTTCTGACCTCAAGTTCCTTTTGTCTCTCCATTTCTTCTTTGCGCCGTTTCTGGATAGAATCAATTTCGTTCTTAGCGTCGTTGAAACTAGTCAGGAATGCATCAAAGATTGAGAAGAACTCGTCGGGCTGCACGGAGCTCGGGTCCTCCCCAAACAGTCGCACAACTTCTTCGTATTTGAGCTTCATCTCGATGAAGAGCTCCTCAAGCTCTTGGTACTTGTAGGTAGCATTTGCCACAAAGTTTCTCATCACCGGTACAAATTTATCATCGAGAATTTGTTCGGCCTGACCTCGGAGGAAATCGATTTCTTTCTGTACGTCCGCTAGACCCGATTTGAGTCCAGCCATCTCCTTTGACAATTCGGACAAACTAAAAGAGTAAAAAGGCAAAGGAGCGGAAATAGTTACCTACTGTTGGTTTTACTTGTACGCTTCAAAGTATCGGGAACAACACCTAGACATTTCTGCATGCATACTATTTGCTCTATTTCCATTTTTATGTATTTACGTCTCTTTGTCAAACAATTTCGGGAATAGCATTGTCAATGCTATTCCCGAAATTGTTTGATAACATTTTTTCATTAAAAATTACCCCCCCAAAAACCGTAACCATTAGATCACTATTTCTAAACTAATATCTATTTCAGTAAATTGCTTATTTCACTGAAGATACATGGTGAACGATCCCATAATCTTTCGTCAAAGTTAGTTGAAACCGTATAAGCTTAGAAATACTACTCACAGATCTAACCTTTAAGTTATTAAACTGCAATTAAAAGAACCTACTTGACTTTGCTGCCTGCCCGAACCTTCGAGATTTCCTCGTCAATCTTAAGCACCTCCCGGAATCGTCGCTGGCAGGTTTCTATAACGTAGTGAAGCAATGTATAATTTCGATTTGAGGACGACTTTGTGTCCGCAAGCTTGTTGAGGGAGGCAATTTTGAAACCGCACGCGTTACCACGATCTCCACGATTCATGTAGTTACCAAACGCAAGCACCAGCTCTAAAAGACGTCGTAGCCTTCGCGAACGCTGAAGATCCTTCGACGCCTCTGTTACGGCAGTGATCTTCGGCTTAATATCATTGAGCTTCTCTTTGAAGGTCTTCTTGTAGCAAAGCGTCTTAAGGCGTTGTTCGTAATGAACGATCTTGCCAACATCGTATAAGAAACGATCAGCTTTGGCCAGCAACTCCAACTGGTGACTGTGTTCCTCTAAACTAGTACGCTCTTCGAGGGTAGGCACAAACTTGAGCATTTGCTCGATCATGTCCTTCTGAAGTTGTTCCTTCGAATCCATCGACAACAGACAACTGACAATCTCATCGTTGGACAATTTCAGCCTCGTCAGTAAAATCTGGCAGTTCTGAGCACGACGCGGGTCAATGACAGACAACTCTTTGACTTTGTTGCTGGTTAGCCCACCCTTCATGGGCACATCGGTAACATCTTCGTTCGACGCAATCAAATTTTTCTTGAAGGCAGCGAACGTCTTGTCGACATCATCAAGATCGATTTCCTTGTAAAGTTTTTCCTCGTTTACTTCTGACCAAATGGTACCTTGTAGACGCGACTCGGGTAGCTTTGACCAGTTAAACGTTTTGAGCGGGTTCGACGGCTGAGGCACATTCTTGACGATTTTCTTAGGCAGACCGAACAGGCCGATCGGTGGAGGAGGTGGAGCACCAAGGCCTCCCATCGGGGGGGGTGGAGGCGGAGGTGCTCCGGGTAGCCCACCCATAGGGGGTGGCGGCGGCGGCGGAATACCACCAGGCACTACGATCGTTCCACCAGGCGGTGGGGGAGGTGGAGGTGGTGGCATGGACGAGCCGTTTTCGTTGCCAGCGGCGGCAGCGACGGCTTGCGCAGCAGCCGCCGCAGCCGCTTGCGCAGCTGCCACTGTCTTCTGCTGGAGCTGGGAGTAACCCACAACCCCACCCCCAATAAAAAAGCAAACGATTAGTAACGAAGTGGAATTTTGCTGCACAACGCAAAATTATTATTATTATTATTATTATAAATAAAGCTTGGCAGGACAAGCGAGGGCAGCTATAGGGAAGCAAAGTATCTGAAGAGCAGTTAAATGAGAATCTGCGTGTTTGTATAGGTAGCACAAATAGTATGGAGAAACGGTAGAGGAAAAAGTTTTGGCGATAACTCGTGGTTAGACTGGCCCCGTATCTTTGGTGCTTCCTTCTTGCTCGCTTTGCCTGTTTTTCCGCTCACTCTTACTGTTCGCTTAAGACCACCGACACCAGCACTAATATCTTCACTACTGAATGCATCGAGCATTACGCTCCGATCTGAGTTAGCATTGCGTCAAAGGCCTCGCCGCTGTTGCTGCTACATGAGATGCCTTAATAGCGAAAGCAACTTACCGCAACTGTGAGTTGTTGAATATTGTATTCGAGCTCTTGAATGCGCTGTTTCGTATTGAGGTGAGAGACAGTCTCCCGTTCAAGTTTGTCCTTGGTTTTTTCCAGGGAATCTTTAATATCATCTCGCTCTTGTGTCGTCTGCTCGAGTTGCTGCTCCTTGCCGGCAATAGATGTCGCTAAATCAATATTTTCTTTCTCGAACCTTTCCGCTTTTTCTTGGGCCAATCGAAGTTCTTTCTCGCTTGCCAAACTACATTAAAAAATGAAAAAATTAAAAACGATTACTTGACATGACAGTCACTAACTAGCCGCCACGTGTAAATAGGCGATACGGTACGGGTGTGGCTATAGAGATGTATGTAGCTTACGTCAATATTGAATCTAAAAAGACTCTGACCATTTACATGTTTATGCAAATGGCACTAAACTCTCACATAGTAACAGAAAAAATGGTCAATATAATTTTTTCAACTAAAAATCTGTCTTTGTTAAAGTATAAATGATACGTTAATCGTTGCCTACATACTGTTTAATAATCTCTCCAACGTTGATCTGTATCACCGCGACATCATGATCGATGCCGTCACATGTGTCCTGCAGTATGATCTGCTGCACCAGCCGGTCAAACAGAATCCAGTGCTCAACCGACTTTCCCTTCGCTGAGAACCACACGAAGTCAGTGAAGGTCATTCCACAGTTCTATATGATTCCGTATTTTCTGCATTAGATATGCTGTTGAATTCGATTATTCAGACTGGCTAACCGTATACGGCGTGCTTCATATGAATGAACCCTTTAAATATCACGACTTGTCAGGGAATAACTTCGTAGTCTACAAATGACCCAAATGTTCGACAACTGACAGAACATTCATGGAGGTTGACGCACTACTTTAGAAGGGCAAACTTACAGGGCATCAGGAGAAGGTGTTGCATGAAACTAAGAAAATGAGGTAAAGCGGGTGAGAAGACCATCTTCTGCTCTAGACACGACAGCATCTCTTGAGGTTTGGTTGAGTCGACATGGTCGCAATTGTAACGTTTTGAAAGTTCTCGTTCATCTTCATTCCGTACCATCTCGAAGATATCCAAATGCCTGAAATGGAAAACACCACATTTTCTACCCGGTCCACTAAAAGTGTCTAATTCGACACGAACAAAGGATTGCTTGAAGGGTTTTTGCTTATCGACATACTTACAATGAAAAACTTTCCAACGTGCAGTCTCTATTGTTTCCAATAAATATTTAAGGATAAGTCGCGCATGGCAATGGAATCGCGTCAAATGCATGATCTATACGGCACCATGTACTGATCGCTCAGCTTGTGAAAAATATGTGTAGAAGAATGCTAGACAAGAGTCTAAGAAAGGTGTCTGGATATCAAAGGTTCCGCAGTGTGCTTCCGTTACGCTAAAATAGGCGCGAACAATGCACAGCGAAGGATTAGGTCATGGGCACGAACAAATATGAAGGAAATGAAACAATGTTTAGATCGGATCCGAAATGCTATAACTCGAAGTGGAGCGCAACAGCCATAGCCACGACGTGAGAGCAGCGCCGATTTCGATAGTGCAATGACGCAGAAAATTTGCAGAAATATTGAATCTCCATCACCCGACTAGCTTGGCGGAACACCGCGTGACACAAGCCGCTCATCGCCGTCGCTGTCCGTGACTCACCCAACTAAAGAGACACAATGAAGCCCCAGTGAGAGTAAAGAAAAGTCGGGCGAAAGAAAATGAAGAGCATGAGAAAAGACAAACGGCGATGACCTCGGCGACGCGAGGCATTCTTATGGAATTCTCTCCATCCGCCAAAATACCATCCACGCCTGCTGTAAGAAACAGATGACATATTCCATAAGATCTAGGGCTCTAACTGGTATTGAGTGGATGATATTCTCTTTACCCTACGTTGGAAATATAGATGGAGGTTCAGCTTTGCGGCTCGAGAATTAAAAGCTGGCGTGAAGCTATGTCGAAGGTAAGAGTAGAGCTAAAGAAGGCTGGCTAGTTGTTCACGCGTAAGTTATCCCTGGGAACGTCGACTTATGTCAATGAAAATCATATAAAAATACGGAAATGGGTCGTGTATTTCGATTTTTCGTTGGTAATTCACACGTCATGGAAATCAATGGGGGTTTATAAAATAGTTTATGGTAGACTAATGTGAACTATAAAAATTTCATGTAAAGGTGTCTAAGTTGGAACTAAACGTGATACCCTTAGATAGCTGCACACTGATAATTACGCTTTTCGTAGTAACTTACCTAAAAATGAACATTCATCCTAAAGGGTTTCATTATTAAAAAATATTCGATGAAGAAGAAGTATATACATAATTTCAAACAAGTTCATAATAGTTTACAATAAGGCAAGCAAAGGTCAGAAAAGAGTACCACGTTTCAGTACAATGTTGAACGAAGAAAAGAACGCTTAATAAAAAAATAGACTAAGTTTTGGCAGATAGTGCAACGATATCACAAAGTGATCCGAGGGGTTACGCCCGATGCATTCGCTGAAGTGCTTCATGACTGGAAACCTAATTTGCCTAATCACTATCCATCACAAATGGCTTTCGGCCAACACGGCTAAACAACAAAAATTTGTTAGCCGTATATATATTGGAAGTGGAAAACTATATTCCTAATACGTTACTCTTGGGTCTGGAATGCATTCGTTGCGTGTTTCTTATTATCGCATACGGATATGGGTCTTCTGAATCTTCTGATGATTTCACTTATAATAAACCAATCTAGCCTATGATCTCCGTTAGGAGACTACTTTCGTCGCAACGGCATATGTCGATCACCATTACGTGTTTCTTCCAACGACAGTAAACTAGCTTCTGCTACTAATACACGTCGTTTCTGAATTTGTTTAGTCCAGATATAGCCTATAGCTATGCACAATGATTTCTAGATATATACGAAAAGGTGCGAACTTACGGTCGACGTCCGAAACTTGTGTAGATGAAAGATACGCCTCGTACTTAAAATGTGGCCCTCACCCTAAAACCCATAAATTACTGATCAATAATCTATCTAGTAGAGGATTACAGTTTATGAGCTCTAGTGTGTTAGAGAGGGACCGACTCACCTGTCTAATAGTGCGTTTTCATATTTACGCAGCTTGTCGATGGTTGGTTGAATCCCCAACATCAGCAGCTCGAAGCGGAGATGCAGACGAAACTCCAGATGCTCCGACCCGGGGCCATAGTTTAGCACCGCGTTGATAAATGACATAATGGCTGTTTTTAAATTCACATCCTCCCGGTAGGGTCCAATGCTGCGATCCAGGTCGTTAATTATCGTCTTGAAAAAGAACAGTACAAATGTTTTCAATGATAAAAACGCGGTTCGTAGAAAAATTCTACAACACTCCATGCTGTAACATGTTGGTAGCTACAGGGCGTTAGTAGCGGTAGCAGCATAATATAAAATGTATGTTTCGTTTTGCGAAAACATTAGCTCTATCAGATAGCACATACGATTCGCTTCATTAGCTGTTGCTTTTGCTGGCGTCTTTCAAGCAGAGTAATCAGAAAGCTCAGAACTGCCTATATGCTTTCTGCAACCTACAGCAGGGGAGGGAGGGTACGGGACGAGCTGGCGTTTTATCTGCCGAGACATTTCATAGACTCATATAGGAACCCCCATCTCTCCATTGCGTGAAATTCTCCAGCAGGCAGAGCTCTGTCCCGCTGGGTGCCCCTGTCAGAAATAGCTCTGTTGCTGGGATATTTCTCAAGTTGGCTGGCTACTTCTCCTGGTACTCTTCCGGCTTCATCGTTTCCTCAGTTTGATTCGCTTCTGAGCCCTGCCATTAGTTCAGTCCATGATGGCCGTCTGACTCAACAGCTATCTTCGAATTTCATTACTGAAGATCCCCCCCACCCCAAAAGCGGAGAGAAGCCCAGTTGCATTGGCGCCTGCCGTTCGCTGGAATTCGACAGAGCATGTTGTCTATCATGAAAGATCTTTAAAGGTGGATTGCATACACTAAGATAATGAGATTAGCTGAGATCAGCGCAACAAATGTTAAAGCGCACTTTTTCTTCATGTTTGAATTGAATTTATACGTTAACAAAAATAAGAAAGTGCAAATTTTAAAAGTAGAATCTGTGTTTTTCCTTTTTTGTCGTACTCTATATTTGCATACGTGCACACCCGCGCGTCTCAGCTGGAATTACAAGGCTGGTTTATGAAAATAATATTTATGAAATAAATGCTCCGCGTTTTACGTCCGATACTGTCGTTGAGTGCTATTTCAAAACATCTGGTCCGTATCGCCGCTGCTTGCATTATACGGTTTCCACGTTACTGAGTCTGCCGCTAAAATTGTATGTAGCTGTTCCTAATATTAACCGTAATTATGTGTCACTGTCTCGCCATATCATTTCGCAGCCTGTGATTATTACATTCAATTGTTGATCGATGACTGCGACGACATTAATAGATACTTGTATTTAACTAAGCTCCCTTAGCCAGGCCGAAACTTTGCACAATTTTTCCCTACGATATTCTTCCCTACGGCCCGTTACTGCTTTTCTCAGCCGTGATCACTTTCGCAACTTGTGACAGATAGTATTCAACAGTGAATCTATTTCAGCTGTTTTTCGTTCTTCATCAACGTCGCGTTCGTCGTTATCAGCGGCATCTTCTTGTGTTTATTACTTTCCGTTGTATTTTGATTTTTCCGGTTCCGTTAACTGTCCGACTCCCCATCGCCGATCAGTCTCCTGGTTTTATCCGGCGACGAACCGATCCCCAGCAGCGTTACGAGCGTGTTTCAATGCACACCGCCATAGTTACGGCAACGCTGATCGTATCGTTAAAACTGCCACTATCGCCGGCGATCACCTCAGCACTCTGTGTATGCATGCCGCTAAATCAGACGGCACCGGTAATAAATTGCCGTTAGCGCTACCTTTCGGCAATACTGGCAGTACGAGCAGTAGCAGCAGCAATCGGGCCTTGCAATCCGATTGGCCTTTTTAACAATTTCCTGCAGTGCTATTGGCCGTAGTAATTCTAAGGGAACGATTTTCATAGTTGTTATGAAGCGCCGTGCTCACGGGGCTAACATAGCAAAATGATAACAAAATCTTTTTGTTGAATTCGTTAACTGTCCACTGAATCATCTCTAATGACACCCGTTGCTTTGATCTGTTGCAAGACATCACCGTAATAGTGAAGATCATCTACACACGTTCGTGTATCTCCGTACGTATGTATAAATAGACGTATACAGATACCAACATTAATATTAAGGAGATTTCACTTTGGTTCATTGTGCCAAGCACCTTTGTACCATCAGTACCAAGATAAAGTCTATACGGTGTTAACATTTATTAGCGCGTCAATTCTTACGGGTTATAGAGGCAATGTCACTCGTTTACAACCGTAAGCCGCCAAAGTAGCTAGCGTAACACCGCCAAAATAGTTCAGTCAGTGTCTATTCAATCAATTACGGTGATAACAATGATTTTTCGTGGAGTTGGCTGTGATCAGAAACTATGGAATGACTGGATCGGCGACGATGATTCCTGTCGATGGCGCTTTCTTCTGTAACCAATAACGTCTGCATCCTGTATGATCAATTACTTTTTACTTATTTAGTGGTCAATCGCTCGTCTGCTAATGGAGGCCGCAAATAGGCCAAAGCGCCACCAGAATGTGTGTGTGTGTGTGTTTATTGATCTTTTTTACATTCGTTTCATGATAGGGACTATAATACATGGTTATATTAAGGTAGATTAATTCAGGTAAAGGCCAAGTAGTTGTGACGAGAAACCGTCTCCCCGACATGTCGTCCGTGCTACTTCTGTGCATAACCTTGTTTGCTGCACCCAACAACAGTGGCCTTGTATAATACTTTCTAAGCTTTCTTTCACTAACAGTAATGCCGTCAATATAATTTTATCACTTTAGTAATAGCAGTTTTCGTATCTGGCAGATATGAGTGATCAGCTGAGATATGTAAGCCCGCGAAACTACTCTTCACGTTATTCAAATACCCAGATTCGGTTTCGCCAGAATAAGGCAGGCACAGAAAGTGTAATGGTAGCTCTTAGTGGGGGATTTAGATATCGATGGCCATCAACTAGGGATAGTAATCTGGCAGTCTTCTGGGTTCAAGATACGGGGTAGAAATACTGGCAGGTACTGGCAGTGGAACAATATGGAAATCAGCGACAGAACTGTTCGCGCTACGACAACGAGCCAATCTCTCGAATTATCTTTAACGAAAGCCTTTTAGGCGATAGACATGATGGCATCAAGGCTCCAACCATGTGCATGCTTGTCCCTTACCAGATAGAAAGAGTAGTGATTTTTATCAAAACTTTTTCTTCTGTCCCGAACAATGTTAGAACACAGAGGGGTACGAAACTCGGAAGTATCAATTTCGCATTTGTAGTTATTATTTTCTTTAATATTTGCGTACTGCATTTTCGAGTGATCAAAATGTCTTAAGATGAGCAGTCGAGAGAAGTTCCACTTCTTATTTAAGCAGTATCAAGTACGTAGATTAGTAATCCTATAGCGAATCAGATTAACAACCGACTCATACATGGTTGATTCACTTTATCGAAATATCAACATTAACGCCACCATTTGGCTTGTGCCCAGAAATCAAGTGGCTTTCTAAGTAGTTACTGAGATAATTGTTTTTCAAAAGCTTCCATTTTGCCTAGAAGTTTAGCTAAACGGGTTATCTTCTGTGTGCGTGTGATGTACATTAGATATATTGTAGCAAGCGTCGGAGATATCGAAGTCAGTACTAATCAAGCTAAGTGTGTTTCTACCAGCTTTTAACAACCTGTGTGCGTAAATATTCGATCTTTTGTCGCTAATATGGTACCTAAGAGCAGACCCCCAATTAGAACCCTCAGCATATGAAAGAACTTAACCTGTATGAAGGGATTAGATGTATTCGTCATGTGGACACAAGCAGAGTCGGCTTAGTGCTCTAAATAATGGGTTTATAACTTGACACATTGATGACAGTACAAGGGATGCTCCAGCCACGAATTCTAGACATGTCCTCATGAACTCCGCTGAGCAACAGGTTATTGTTTTCGAACCTATTTTACTGTGTGATATTGATGAAGTATATATATATATATATATATATATATATATATATATATATATATATATATAGAGCTTCTGCAATGTATGTTGTTTTAAACTGTATACTAATGGAATATGCATTTAAATAGTTTTTTACAGGCACGCTTTTTCCGTTTCCAGACCGAATGAATATCCGTCTTCATTACCATCTGACGTTTCCTCACAAGGAACTTTTGTCTGCTATTTCGACGATAGTAGGTCTATTTCATGACACTGAGTGATATGGTAGTATTTGAGCATCAGTATGCTGTTCCTGAAGAAAATGAACGTTGTAACGTCAGAACGCAGGTAACACGATTGAATCCATAGATCCAAAGATGCTTGCTTGTCCGGTTCGAGTCTTTACAGGTGTTTTGTGTACCTGATTAACAACTGGTCACATAATTAGGCGGTATCTTTGTATCAGTGCGCTTGTTTGCGAGCCTAAATGAACATGATTTTACATGCCTGGCGACGCTACCGGGTTGCCGCTGCAGCTACTACGGTGGTGGCAAACATATACCGCGATAAACGGAGACAACTCACAACAGGGTAGATCAAATGTGAAGATGCGGAAAACATTAAAACAGGCAGAATCAATGTAACGTACCAAAGCAGCTGAACGGCGCTAGCGAAAAGTAAAAGCAGCACAGATTCATCGCGGACGACGTCGGAGACAGAAGCAACAACAGCTCCGAATAACAGGGCAGGTTGTCGTCGAAGCACTTTTTTCCACGTTTGCAATTTCTCTGCACGCATGTACGCGTGTCTTATAATATATGATTGGCATACTAGTTTGCCTATAGCTCATAACGCAAGCCCAGGCCAAGCTAACTGAGCGACCCGAGCCTCGCGCTAGTCACACTTTTCGGCATGTATTCGGGCCACTATAAAACGCTTGTACAGATCGCTCGTAAATTGGTTGCCGGCCGTTCATAGCTCTATTTGAGGCTTCGGTGTCGCTCAAACTTTTACTTAGCGGAAGGGAACACAAAGAGTTTTTGAGAAGCTCGCCGGACGATGAGTACATCAGCGGTTCTGGTCGCAATACCACCATGAAACCTTGGAGAAGCGAAAAAAACAAAGAAACAGGGCAGAAGAAAAACAGAAACTTTATAAATGTGGCCCCGTAGCGCTAAAGGAAAAGAAAAGACGAAACGAAGAGAGGAGTGAGTCTAGCGTGAACTAGGCAGGATAGCACAATTCCAATAGGCCAGCCTGGAATTCGAGTGCAGGACCTCATCTGGACATCACACACTGACGGCGATTAGGGAGGCCTTGAAAGAAAAGGGCGAGCCTTGTCGACTAAGGGAAACCAGAAAAGGACATTAATACAGGACAGCTGTACGTGGCTTATTTTTGGGTTCGCAGGACACGTACAGGGCACTCTTCGTTTGGTAGTAGGTACCTGTGATTCTACTAACCCGTTTGTTTTTCTTGCTTCGTCGCTGAGATTTACACTGAAAATGCACCATGCTTTTTATAGTTACAATGACCTTAGCCAGCTCACGCCGTTGGACCCCTAACATTGTTGACTGAAGATACGGGTTGACCAAGTGAAGCGTCAGAGAAATTGGGATTTAATGGATATCAGTCTCCACGAAATTAGGTTCACTCCTAAGGAATGAAACCTATATTAGGCACAAAAGCTAACGAATCGTTTCTTTTACCATCGCTTGGTTACTGAATAGTTCTGTGGGAACTGGTTCATTCATCGGTAACAGAATACCGCAACTGGCTATGAGGAGCCGTCTCTTAAGTGGGTTGCCACTTTATTTTTTGCAAGCCGCCGTCGGCCAGTAACAGATCCTTTTTTCTGGGTCTTGGAGAAAGATCGAAAGGCGATAACGACGATCGTTATAAAACTTTATTACGAAAGAAAAACTCGAACAGCATCATCATACACATCGTGTTGGCTCGCAAAGTCGAAGAAAAAAAAGCTTTATCTTTAATATGTATACAAATATCTTGCCGAGTAAGTTATTGCCATTGGTGAGAGCTTCAATGCGCTAGACAGATATAATCAGCAGGCTACCTATTTGTAGCTATCTGTAATATTTGCAAATATCACTTCTATATATTCTAGATACTAGCTTCACATCGGGACTAGTTGGTGTAACAGCTTCGAACCGAAATCTTACTTGTAACTAGTGTCACAAGGACGCAGACTATGCCTGTCGATCGTTGTTCAACATCCGCAAGTTTCGGCTAGAACAGTTTAAAGTTGTCCATCTTCCAGGCTTGACGTTGGAATGGTTTAGTACTGGAGTTAGCGCCAGCAACTTATCTAACTTGATTACCTCAGTGGCCTTCGAAAATCACTGGAAATTACCAAATGTGTGCTCACCGTCATATCAAGGGTACCAATATGACAATTCGGTAAAACACAGAAGCCGCTATTTCGGACGTTTGCGCGTTTTTGCCGTGAACTTCCCGAGTCAAATATCGTTTTTCTGATGTCGAGGTTAGCTGCCTTCCACAGTCAACCCAGACCACATTATAGTGATCGAAGATCGTAGCCGAAAGCGCCTATAATGTCTATTCAAAGGTTTGCCATCGTGTTATCGTTTGATGTTTCACTCAACGCACGTTTCTAGTGGTTTATTTAAAAAATAATAGTACTTTTCATATGACAGCTGACTGCCTGTCCGAGGTTCTTTAACCCGAAGCGTGAATGTAGATACACCATCTTGAACGCGTAGAATTATTCGTTCTATTAGATGTTCAATCACAGATGATCGTAGTGAAAATGCCGGTCTCCGCTCCGCAATTCGGATGCTTTGAAACATTCGCGGATTCGTCAACATCTGCGTGTGACCGTCGCAATTTCTCTCCCACTCCGCTGTTAAATTTACCGCATCGAACGCTTCGACCGAGTTGACCCATATATGTACTTTAAGCTGTTTTTAACGCAACAGAAAGGTGTTTACAGAACAATGAGGGCTCGCATCGAGTTTGGGAAAAGTCGAGCCAAGATGTCAGATTTATTCGCTTAATGATTACAATCATAGAATCTTCACAGGTGCCGTCGCTAGAGCAAAAACTGTGGTCCTAGACAAGCTGCTACCATAATCGTTCTCACGTCTAAGTTGTGCAAAAGATTCCATTTGTCCAGTGTCATTAGATAGTATTCTCTAAGATGTTATCACGTTTTCTGTACGATGCTAAATGCGATACAATGCTAGATGCTGTATGTGGTAACTTACCAAAAACCTGGTTCGTTCACAAGCGAACTTCTGGAGGTGGCACATCGCTTCGAGAACTTTTTTGTGCCCACCTGGCACCAAGCACACCGCTCCGAGAATTTCCAAAACGGCAATTTTGGTCTTGACATTCCAGGTGGCAAGTGACTGGGCGATAATATTAATTGCTGTTGGATGGGCCAGTACATGTGAACGACCCGTCTGCAAATTCATAGTCAATACATCGATTTAATGTGAAGTATAACAACCTATAAGGACTAAAACGTCGCACAATGAATATAACTACATGCGATCTTATACCAAACACAATGACAATAAAAATTCAATCAAATCTTGTCTTAGAAACCAACCACAGGTGCAAATCATCTTACTAAGAAAAGACTTGCTATGAACTTCCAGTCTTTCTTTATTTGAACTTGGCGTCGTTGGAAGCCCTGGAGTTCTCAAGCGTAAGAGCTTGTTGTCGCTTCGACTATTGTTACCGTTATCCGTTGGGGTTGCGCTTCCCGAAAATGTCGTCTTTGACAGGCTTCTGTTTTCGATAGCAGCGCGTAGAAACTAACTTATCTCGTCCCGTCCTTCAATAAGCAGCCCGACTTAAGGGACCCTTCCGAGTAACTACTGCAATATATTCAACATTTTCGCTGGTTGCTTTTGGATCGTTGCTATTCACAATTCTTAAACCGACGCATCGCCGATCTCGGTGACGAGAGGAAGTTTTGGTAAATTGACCGACGAGCCACTGCATTTATGTCGCAAGAAAGCCGGCCCCTTCTTTACTCTTAGAGACAATGCTGTACTTTACCTGGTATCTTCCAATGCTATCAGTCGCCCAACGGCGTTGTATTATTGGCTGGCTGCTTCTTCCAGCGTAGTACTGCTTAGCGCCGCAGTGAACTCGGTTAAGAGATGTACTTCTCGACCCCTTTGACGCAACCACATGTCCATCCACCCAGCTGTACACTCAAATCGGTAGAGTTGGTAGCGGGCGCTTAGTAATGTCCCGTTTCCTGTTTGCCTGCGTTTGTTCAGCCCGTTTGCAATCTTCGGGGGTTCTTTCCCTTTGCCGTCCTAACCGCTAGACGTCGTAAGGGCGGTGCTCGTGCCAACGCTCTCAGGCAAACTACAGGGAACATCTGGATTTAAGTAGCGCTTCGTATTCCCTGGTTGAGCTAGAGGTCATCACATGATTTGGGTACTTACACCAAAGGCGCGTTTCAACAAACCACTGCTCGCTGATGCTCACAAAATGCGATTTTGCTTCACCTGCCAATGCGAATCTTCACGAGTGACCAGCGCGCGCGAACGAACCCGACACGCCCCTACTTTCCATGCGCCGGCCTTCGCGCTAAGCTGTATTGCGAGGCAGAAATCGTGTGCTTGAAGACGATCTTGGGCGACGGAGATTTGAAATCTATTGTCATATATTATTGTCACATAAAATATTGTCACGTTACGATTCAATGGTCCCTTTTTGGCGCTGCTGCCGTTTCAACCAATTAACTAAACTTGGGCTTCTTCATCAGTGAAGTTGTCTTTGTCATACTGCTGAGTATTAGGGAACTTAGCGAAAGGCAGCTTAGAATAAGATAATGTTAACGCCATATGAAGAATAATATTTTCCCTGTTCTCGTTATTTTCCTTGGCCTGTTTGGGTATGTTTTTCGCTTACTGCCAGCAACAATTCTAGTTGCAGTACGAACACCACGTATAAAAAGTGCCCGTCCTCCCGTCTAATAAGCAAATAGCCTAACCTATTTAAAATGGATAGTTTTACACGGTCCCAACATTCGATTTATCGGGCAAAGGTAAAAGCAGCTCGCGCGATTCGACGCGCGAAAAACTGTTACCTGCATTTTTATAAATAAGCCACACATGGCAAAATATCATAGCTTCAAATATTCTGAAATGACCTCTATAGGAAAGCGGGGCAAACAGCGCGAAACTATCAAAAAGGCGTGATTACCCAAAGAAAATGAGCTCAGGTTTATTCTACCCAACCCTAGATTCAGGCCGAGACCAGATGCTGGAGCTCACATATACGTATCGGCATAGTGTTGAGGCACTGGCCTCTAGGCATGCTTGCTGCACTTCCAACAATTCTAAGTAGTTGTCAGAAGATCGAGTAAGCTACAGAAGCACACATCGAGAAGATGTTTCATTCACTTGTCTGTCTGTGGAAGATAGAGTGCTTTTTACTGAAGCTCTTCAAGTCAAACTGAAGAAAACAACGGATTGAGTAATACGTGCATTTCCTCTAAACATTTTCCTTTAAACCACACCCAAGTATTTCTTCGACCTGCCATGAACTACTTATTAACAAAAACGGGTAAAAATATCGAACAAGGGCTAAATATGAAGACCTCTATGGCACTTTGTAAGTTTAAAATCTCAATTGAGCTTGCTGTTTCTCTAAATCGTAAATAATGAATTTCACCAAGCGGGTTTCATAACGTATAACGTCTAGTAAGCAAGATAATAATAAGCAATTATTTTCACTGTTACCTGTTGAAGCCTTACCGAATTGTTCATGAGTGCCTTAACGCATCCTATGGCGGACGTATGCACCGAACTCTCAAACGTCTGCCGATCCATGGCAGAAAGGAAATCGAGTAAGCGTAACAGGCCCTGTTCGTCAAGGAAGCGAGTTACAAAGGAGTTGGTCTGTGTCCGAAGTGCCGTCTTCAAGCTCTCGAATAAATTGGCCCGTTGCCGAATTTCCTCTTCGTCATCCTCAGCATAAGGTAACTGAAAAAGCAAACAAATAAAAGGCCGCTAAAAAATAAGCCATTTGAGCCGCTAAGCGATTTGCTGTTATTATTAACGCTGGACATTGTCCAAATATAACTTAAAGTAGTAGAAACGTTCGAATATCAAACAGATACTTTTATGATTTTTCTTTGAAATTAATATTCAAGCATATTGGATACCTATATTAAATTGTGTCCGGCCGTAATAGTGAGTTTAGCGGCAGACTGAATTCGAATATGAACGTAATACCGTTTCCACAATAGGCGAACGTGATACATTTATTATACAATGCACTAATAACAATGCAGATCATATTGTCCGTATGCCAGGTACTATAAGTTTTGCAAGGACGGTACAGCGTTTGTGATAAAGGGGCATATGATTATCTTATCTAAGACCGTTAATTGCCGAAATCGACATGTTTCAGGCATGTAAAAGGAAGTTTTTTTCGTTATCGGCTAACTATAAACTATAAAACTAACGCAATGAAATATAAAACACTTGTTGTGGCCACGCTTGCTTCCGGTTACAATGGCAGATGTATGCGACGGTCCTCGTATACATCCCTGACCATATATATGCACACTCTAGATAGACGGTGGCGAAAAGACATTCCAGATCACACTACGTATCCGTAGATAAGATCACCTAAACTGTATCTGAGATCGTTTTGGCCAATGAATAATCAACCTATGTCTTCATATGATTGCCATTGCTCCTTCTCATACTAATCAACTAATAAAAACAATAGATTGTTGCTTCTTCCATTAAAGAGAATCAGGAAAATGTCTATTTAATGAAATAATGCTTTGACTGGCGATCGATACCCATCGTCGAACCCAGATGGCTGTCCAGTTGGGGTTGTCGCTAAACGCTGATAGATGGAGCCCCGAATGGCAAGGATTCACCGAATTGTTTAGATTTAATGTATAAGGGGTAAGTGAGCGAGTTCGTTCGAGAATGAAATTCATGGGCCAGAGTGTTTATGGCGGCCCAAACCCAAAACCCAAAATCTTCTTCCTTATTGAAACTCTGCAGTTGACCTCTAAGGATTTTGTAAAGATTGAGATAAACGAGGTTTGAAGCAGTTTGGTTCGTGCTCAACCACAGACGCCAATAAGCACAACTGAGGCGTTCTGAAATTGAATGGATTTCTGTCTGCCAGTCTGTGACCTCTATTTGCCTGTAGCCTCTTTACTATAGGAAGGTGTTACCCTTCAATGAATCTCAGCTTCCGAGAATAGCCGACTGGCCGATTGTCTATTTGTTTGTACGCAAGCTGATATCAAGCACGCATCTGTTCACATTTATGATCCGCAATTTGTAAACACAATGCAACTGTCGGCTAGAAGGTCCCAATAATATTATTTTCAGATTCCGTCCTCCTTTAATTACAGGCCACCTTTCGCGTTAGCCACCAGCCGGGAATTGAACTGGCAGACAGACAAACCTATCGAATTAGCTATCAAATTTTGTAGAGATGGATCAACGACATTGGGCAGTTATTATGTCAAGGAGATGCTATGAAAGAGCAAGTCCATATAGCCAAACATTTGCATGATTCGTACACCCGCACGAATCCCCTATCCATATGATGTAGAGTGACTAAGAAAAAGAAAGGCCGAGAAAAGCATAAGCTTTGCATCGCTGCAATCTGGCAATTTAGGCTGGATTTGTCTATGCCAGATGTATGGATGCGCGCTAGATGACCCATGTAACTACGGCAAGCGAGTGGATGAGGGAGACCACCGACGTCCCTATAGACAAGAGAAGGCCTTCCGAACTGAATTGACGAAAACGAGATACGGGTCGGGCGAGTCCTACGAGGCTGCCTGGGATCCATATGTCGCACACTTCTTTGCTACCCACAGGTCAGCTAAGCTTGGCGAGATATAAAGAGCGGAGAGTTTGCTGTGCACACGAATAAACAAGTCCATGCATTGACCCTGTACGCGGTAGTGCTCTCCGTTGCTCCTGTTGCCTGCTCCCCATGCCATCGAGAGGTGAATGGCGTTTGGGGTGGTTGTGGGTGGCTGGAACATGTGATATGTTGATGATGCCTCGTAGAAGCGTGGACGCGTGACCATCAACACTGTCGTTATTCTGGGTATGCGGACCGTCGCCATGGAAATCGCCAGCTGACGAATTCGACCCTTACTGAACGCTGCTGCTGGTTACTCGCGCACTCACCTATGTACTGATCAGTAGTGTTTTTATATCAAATATTTTTTATAAATCGTAAGCTGAAAATTTGTGCAATATGTATGTAAAAGCACATAAACAGTCTTGTTTGATACGAAAAGAATGAAATTAAAAGAAATGCAACTCCCAGACTCCACTTCTTATTTAATATGTTGCCTACAGAAGAGCCAGTGCGTGCCGTGTGTTTTTCTTTACCATCTGTTGTACTTCATATCTTTGCCCATTTCAGCGTTTACTCTGGAGTTATACGATCTTAGATCTTACGTCAGGCACCGCAGCAATAGAACGCTTTAAACCTGACTCCCCCTACACTAGGTGGGAGTGGGGTATGGGTGAAAGTAGAAGTGACTAAATGAAGAGGTTGTTCCGCGAGCATGCCTGACCGTGGGTTGCCTGAGAGGACTGGTTGACGAAACCTAGCTAACGTAGCCTGAATGGCATACGTAATGTAACTACGAAACGATATAATATATGATATTGCCACTCTCGACTTGCTTGGTGCGCTCGAGTCTTTCGAGTAGTTCGCAGTCACGCGCGTTGTAATAAACGCTATACTGCTGAGCAAACAAATGAGAATTTGGATGATGGTGCGGAAAGGAGTCCGCTATCTGTTCGTCAGTAGCAATATCATAACAAGGAGGACCAACCACATGCGATGACTGGCGAGTGTTCTATGGTAGATTCGGCAGCCGGACGCCCTAGAAAATCTAAGCAAGTCGTCCATAGAGTCGGTTGTATCGCTTTATATGTCAGAAGATAGAGTCGAGCTACTGCCGTCTGGCTACTATCTGTCTGCTATGTGTATATTATAGGTAGTGATGTTTGTGTGCTTGCCCGAAGATCAGGCTCTTTTTTGATCCAACTACGTTCATTTGACATCGGCCGAAGGCCGACTAGAATCCGGTAGGCGACACTAACTCTGCGTATGCCCTCCCAGGATATATACGAACATTAGAATTTTTGGCTATATAATAGTAAATGTTGAGCGGCTAAGCCAAACAATATATTGTGGGTGAAAATATTAACTGAACTTTATTATATTATTTTGTTATGATATACTGAAACAGCAAAGGCTTTATAACACCAGTTAAAATAAAAGAGCTGACCGAACAACGTCAAGTACTTCCTACTTTTATATGTCATCCTTCAAACTTTTTTTGAATCTAACTTGTCGGATTAATTTCAAATTGAATAACACTTGAGTCAAAGAGACGAAGTTAAAGACCTTGTTTTCTTTTTCTATTCGAAACTATTATTAGTCTCCTATAGGTAAACTTTTATTTCTTTTCTTTTGGCTATTCCGTTCCGGTCAGAAGAACTCTTGCCGCCCGTCTTTGCGCTATTTGCCTTAATCGTAGGTCTAACAGAAAGCGACGTTGAGGCATAATTTAGATTGGCCAGTCGATAACGGTTCTAGTCCCAAAATCTTCGCATACTACGTTCTGTATATTCAGCCGGCTCTTAGTTTTCAACTCGGTCATGCCATCAGTTTCTCTTACTTGGTCAGTAGGCAGTACTTGATACGGAATAAGTCGACGGAACTCACAGATGCGTACGTATCTGTGAGCTTCAATTGGCTATGGCTGCTTTGTTTCAACCGAACCCACTGGTGCTGCTGTCGTGGGGTTACAATTGACCCGCTTTAAGCACTGAACACACACACACACATACGTACCTCTAGACCATGCTGTGAAACGCAGAACTCACAGGTTAGACAAACACCGTTGCATACAGAAAAAAAACACATACATATGTGCTCGGACGACCCTGCTTGGCGGGTAACACGGCTATTCTATACATTATTGCATATTGATGTACACAAAATATGGGGCAATGTACCTGTGCCTTATTTAGGCCTGTCACAATCTGTACAAATGGCCAAACAAAATATGAATGTACAAAAAAAAATATGACATCATTTGCGGATGTTAGGCGGAACATACAAGTAGGCAAAAATAGACGGTTTGTAAGCTGTTAGAATGTGTGTTACATACATATATATATCATCTATATGAGGTGGAACGATGTATACATTATTTTATGATATGTAGAGGCACATATACTACAAACAGCTACAGGAGATCAGCGTGAAGGAATTGTAGGGATGAAATTTGTGCAGCAAGCAGCACGGTACGGGCACAGCACATATTAAACTGCCTACGAACTAAATCGATAGAGCGAAAAGTGTTCTTTCATCATAGCAAATAGACACAGAAGTAGATCATTGTGACAATGTACTTCTGCTTCTATTTTCGGCCGTATATTGGGCAATGCGCTATTCGTTGAGGTATAAATACTAAAAAAATTAAGTGCAGAATTAAACTTATCGGAAGGTTTTTAGAAGTTTGCAAGCTACCTTAATAAACGCGGCGATTTTCTCCAGATAAAGGTCAGGCTGGTGGTGACCGACGACAGCATGTTGCATTTGCTCCATTTTCCGTGAAATATACAACTGCCATTTTTTTTCGGCCGGTAGGCTAAACATCACCTGCAAATTTATTAGCGTACGAAACATATGTTATCTAGCGTTTCAGTGTATTATCTGTTTGTATTGAGCTGCTGTACAAAATTTGCTCGAACTGTCAGAAGAAGACTTCACTTTCGAAATTATGAGTAAACTACCAGAAAAATGAAGCGTACATCACTAAAATTCTGGATTTTAGCGAGTCAAAGATCTTCCGACGGTTCTGCACGGATGCTTATCATCCACCATTCACTGATTGTATGTGTATGTCTGGGTATGAATGTATGTATGTATGTATGCAAATTGTACTTCTTTTGAAGTAGGATACGGATCCAAACTAATGCTACCCCTCGCTTCCACTCTATTATGACCTAGAAGCACGATTTCTGCATATTTTTGCGCAGCGTAATTGTTGTTACCTTAAGATATTATTTTTCCTTCTTTCATAGCTCCGATTACCGGCGTTTGTATCGGTTCCACTCGTCTGATAGTACTTCATTAATATACGATAATATATCATTGCGTTCTCTCGCGAAGATGTCAAATTTCCGCTGCCTTAAATATATATGTGTATAGCACCTATGCCATTGCCAATCACGGTAAAATCAAGAATGCAGCGACATACAAATATATATAGCAATAATAATACATCGATAAGAGCGCGCATCTATCGCAATGAGCTTCACTATCGATATGAAAAAGTTGACTTTTGGCTATCATTATTTCTGCCATAAGGATTTTAACAGACTATAAACTATATAACTACAGGCTTTGTTTGAAAAGGGCCAACTAGTGAAATATCATATGGTTTTCGATGATGAAACCGGCGGTTTTTCCAACTCTGTTGGGAAAAGTGCCAGTTCCATCTAGGACCGTGCTACCGCTCGCTGCCACGCTTCGTGTTTGGTGGCATTTTTGACCTACCGGTTAAACGAGAAGTGTACTAACTGCCTAACTAGGAAGCTCCTGCCGTTCCTGATTCGACCTTGTGTGATACTGTTGGGGAGAAAGCGGTAAAGGAAGGGAAAACTGAGACTTTAATCCGCCGACAAGAACAAAAAGTTTGACTTTTTTTTCTTTTGCTTTTCCACGCTAAATTTTGCCACCAGCTTTGCCGTACGGCCAAATGAATCGGCGTTGAGAAACATTACGTGTTACGCAAAAACACGATGTAGTTCTTAGCTGAGTTCCTCCGCGCTTTAAGGCATGCCCTACTTCAAGTGTATGTATGGACAGGTACAACCATCTAGAAAAAGGACGTTTTTTTTTCCAGTAACTTGGTATATGATCGTTTCCGCTAGCGGCGTTCTAAGTCAGCTTCCATCAACTGGCGAATAATCCCGATATCCGCCTGGGTCGATTTGCTTGTGGTCTCCTGTTCCAGTTAAAGCAGCTCTACTGGATTCCGATGAGCGGTCGGTTTGGGTAAGAATCGGCCTCAGTCCCAGCCGTCGTCCAGATCAAAATGCGTCGAACCTGTCTACCGCTTAGATGAAGAAGATGCCCTATTTGGTCACTGAAAAGTAGAAAATGACCAGCCCGTCGCTTTCGTGTGGTTTGTCCGTCAGACATTCGCGTTATCGGCCATGCTGAATGCCGCTCTATTCCAGCCTGTCTAATGATTTATTGAGAGTTTTGCGGGACATGGCAGGGTTTGTGGTGGCAAGTAGGACGCCGACATGCTTCTATTAGTGGAGTGGCGGTTGTGCGGCATTTGAGTGAACTGGAAACAAGCACGGCTAGATACCGTTGTCCTGATGGAAGGCTTCGTGTTGTCACCAGATAGGCGGGGTAGTGCGAAACAGAAGTGCTTTTAAGGGGAAAAGGTTCTCTCAAAAAACGAAGCGGCAAATAGATTAAGGTATCACACCTATACAGAGAGGCAGAGATATGCAAACACATGCGTACACAGCTACTAGGAGTATCAGGCAAAGCTCGAGAGAAAAGCCAAATTGTTTCCTTACTTCTTCTTTTTTTTTTTTTGTTTATGCAGGTTGAATTGAGAGCTCAGTGCTGCAGAAGTACAAGTAGCTACTTTGCTTAGCACTGCCCTGCTGTATTCTCTATTACCATTTCTGTTCACCTAAAGTAGAACACATGTAGAAGGTGGATTGTTTTTTAAGGGGTGTGGCAGTTGTGGAAACTCGAAATCTACTAAAGGAGCCTAGAAGTCGAGTGTTTGACTAGTAATATAATATTTTGCTCCCTAAAATGCTTGAATACAAGTATCGAACTGGCGAAGACTGTAGTTAAAACGGAGATTTGTTACCCTACTTGAGCTGTGGGATCATGGTAGGTTCGTCCTCCACACATGCGTCCTTAGTCCGACAGAAAGACATGTAATCGTATCAAATTGGGCACTTCCATTTGGGTCACCGATCGAACGAACGGGCAACTGCTCAACCCAGTTTGGCTTCGACAAGTGCCAGAGACAGAAAGTGACCTCTTCGCTTTTTCGAAAGGAGCCTGTCGATCAGTACACCGCGTGCCCATGCCAAATACCTCAAGTAAACTTCACAGCAAATGATAGCCAGCTAATAATAGGCGGTGTTTCGCTTTCGGTTTGTTTTGGACCGGACTGAGGACAGAGAGACGGTTCGTCTCTGCCGCTCTGACGAGAGGCTGCAACCACGTACACTAATGCATTTGTGCTACATAATAACGTGCCGTAAATGGAAACGTTGCTACATTCCCATAATATTAAAGGCCTATGTTCTTGTGTGCAAATTGCGATATACGATTGCATGCTATGGATGGCTAAACATAGAGAAAAACGTGGTACACCGTAACAACAGTGCCGAGGCGCCACGTTAGCGTCTAATTATGCCCTCCAGTCTCACTCAGGGTGCTTTTTTGATTTCAAGCCTGCAACTCCTTTATATTGTTATTAGTCGTTTTTGTGTACATGAGGAACATGATACAGTAACAACTACCTTCATCTCACGGCATGCTTCGCTCCTGTTAAACGTCCAATGTAAATACTTTTGGAATCTCAAATTCGGTTTTCCTTTAAAGACTGTCACAGAAGCGTGGTTGTTATTCGTTTTTACGGTATAAGCATTTTATGGCTTTCAAAAAATTCAACGGCAATAAATAAAAATAGAGCGTCAAAGGGCAAGGAGTCGTGTTTATATTTAATACGATGAAAACCATCGGGTTATTCAGGCCACCGAAAAATTACTACAGACGGCGCCTTGATTACGTCCCGTACACGTCGTAGTGTCTGCCCTAATGCTGCTGTTATAGGAACGGGTTTTGCCATTGCTAACCCACTTTCTTCATCAAGCGACGAAAATTATTGACAGTAGGGGGAGCGAGGGTCCGTACGTCATGAAAATAGGCACTAGTATACAGGTAGTAGTTTTCCTGTATAATTAATACTAGAGGAATTCTGACAAAAAATAAAACAAAGAAAAGCTGAGTAGGTGGGAAAACGTAACTAGGTTTTCCCTTCTCCATTGGTTTCAGCCTCATCTTTGTATTAGCATTTCGCATACGTACCATTATGATGTAATATTAAGAAAACTTGGTTAATGATGCCGCGCGTCAATCATCAAGTCGATCATGACTCACTCAGCAGTGAAACCTACCGCTTTTTTCGATTCGGTGAGATCGAGTTCGTCAACGATTTCAGCGAACTTGGCATTAAGTTCGGCTTCATCGGTCGGCATTGGCGGCAGCTGATAGCCGCCTAAACCTCCAACAAGCAGAGATGAGGGCGGAAGAGTGACAACCCCTAGACCACCCGGGCCGGGGGTTCCGCCGCCTCCAGCGCCCACACCGGGACATCCGCCATTTGCATCGACTACCTGTAACGACATGGATTACAACATTACTAAGAATAGCAGGTATCTTAAATAGATACAACTACCTATAGTAGTGATTTACATTTTCTGACTGTTGATATCCAGTGCGTATGACATATAGTGATTTTTTTCATTTTACCTGTGAGTATCGGTTTGTTAATGAAAGCGTTCCCTGGGGGTAAATTATGGTATTGTAGATCGGTGTGATTGTGAAGCTTCAAGTTATCATAAAGTTCGTTCGAAATTATTTTGACAGTTTGCAGCTTGTTGACGGGGGAGTCGAATTTAAGGAAAAACAAAAAAAATTTCCTGAGTTTGAGAGAAACGCGAAATAGATGAACATTTAAAGCTGTCGTACGAAACAGTATCAATGTTTACGTTGTTTCCTGCATAATTTCCTCTAACAGATCTTAAACACCACTAGCAATCAACCGTTTAGTTGAAGCCTGATACTATAATGGTTCAACTGTCATTGTCAAGCGAAACTATTATACTATCGCCCGTAAGCACACAGCGTGAGCTTAAAAGCTTCGCTTTAATTACAGATCACAAACTATTAGTTATCTTAGATAGTCGTTGATATTGTTTTGTGCCTATAGAGCATTGCGTAGTACAATATTGCGTCTGTGATCGATAATACTAAATGTACAAATTGTTTTTTTGTCGATGTTTGAAAAACGTCATATATATAATTATATGATGGGTTGATTCGTGATAATCTTCCTGTTGCTGTCTGTTGGATAGGTGATATTTGCAACTTTTCTCAGAAACACATTTCTAGCTAGCTACAGGCGATTTGGGTTATTACAAAGAAGAGCGAATAATAAGCGAAACTGTATGACCCAACTATAATTTCTTTCTACGTTGAAAGTACATAAAATGAACGTTGCCCACGAAAGCAGGGGTCAACGTTCCGTAACTCATCTGTCGCCGACACTAGCGCCGTTACCTTGTTATACATTATAGCACCGCGTAGACAAAGATATGTTACTGTAAGTCATTATATTCCCTAGCAGTCGTCTAAATTCGACTGTTTGACATTTTTCTCTTATGCTTGATATCGTAATTGAATTGATCGAATAGGGAAAGTTCGATCCACTCACTCTGTTCTACGACAGGTATATATATAGGGTGTTCCAAAAATCAGTACACACTTGAAATTATTATAACTAACGTATTTTTAACTAACGTGATAAACGTATTTTTACGTTTATCACATAGACGTCCCGTGATAGACATGATAACACCTGCGACAATCATGATAATACCAAAGCAACTAGTGTTGGTAAAGCAACAATGCTCTGTAGACTGGAGCCCACACAGAGATAAATACATTTATTGATACAGTTGGATGATAACGTCGTGAAGTTCCCGTTTAAAAAAAAAACAAAAAAAAATCTAGCACTCAATCGAAACGGAACATATATATAACATAATATTTCATGATAATAGGTTGAACGATGACCTCTGCGTGCTGCAACGTAAATTATGGGCTGGACGTTCACCAAGAACAAACGTCCCCAACGCATCAACGCTTCGACGAGAGATCTCTTTTTTGCTTCCGAACGAAGGGTGCTGCCCCGCTGATAAATATTTTCCGACAGAGCTATTCCCGTCTTCATTTTATTGATTCCGCATAAAACATACGGCCGATGAGTCCATTTGAAACTCTCTGCGGAGTGACGAAGCCGTTATGAAAATGTACTCACGTCTTCAAGATGTTGGTGTGAAACTTCTGAGATCGAACTCAGATAAATGGAACTCGGAGAGCGACAAAGAAAAAGAGTTAGTGCTCGAAAGGTCTTCTGAAAGAATTACATATATAGATATTGCTGATGGCTGGGGTGATTCGCAGATAGCTAAGCTAGACTGCATTTCCGATAAAGAATTTTGTCCTCTTTGTAGTAATTAACTTAAACAACAAAAAATATAATATCTTCGACATAGTACTCGACGAGATGATAATTCTTCGCATATTTACAAATGGGGACAACAATCATCCAATGTCCGCCATCTTCTACTCGCCAAAAACGTATCATAAGTGGCCACTATAATCCGTTCCTGTACCTCATGTACATCTTCTATATACACAACAGCTCTCGTTGAGCTCAAAAAAAAAGACCAAGAATAGTATTGTCAGTCTTTCATATATTAATTAAGTTAGTTAACGGTTTGGTCACTATTGTCGTACTGATTTAGCAGTTTGATTGAATCAAACAGTGAAATAGCCCGTGTCTATTCTGAAGAAGTCACAAATCATTCGCTACTAGAGGTAATGTCATCATCAATAGCAAAAGGAATGGATATTCGAGTGCACCCTGATTTCAAGGAACCTCAAACCAAAACAGTGTCATACTTTACTTCATGAAACTATTTGAGAGGAAATTATATATATATATATATATACACTCCACGATCGTTCGGTAAGATACTTCAAGTGGCTACTAGAATCGTTCTCTTAGTTTTTTTTTTTCAAGAAGCTTGCACGACAAACAACGTACAACTAGGTATGCCTAAATTTTTTTTGCCGGTTGCATAACTATTTGTAGACAAATATATTATTAGCTCTGCATCAGCGCGATTTAGTCCATTTATACGCACTTTTTCTCTCATGTTTCTAGAGATCCTCTACCTATATCCTTCATTTTTCATACTAGAAAACATGTCCCGACTACGTTTATTACCAAATTTCCCTTAGACATTCATCAGCGGTCCACTAGAAAAACTTCATATACCGCGAACAGACAAAAATCTAGTTTCCTTGAAGGGAGTAGCTGTACATTTCTTATATCAAATGCAATATAACTAAAAATTAGATATTCTAAATACAACTAGTAGTTCGCTAAAAAAAAATAACCACTATAAAACACCATGAAAGCTATAGAAATAGCAATGCATTTATCTTCAGTATCACAGACACCCAAGACTGGGGGTTTCAAACCCAGACATTGTCGCAGCAATGCAGCCAGAACACTATATCGACCTATTATATACCATGTCGGCCTATTATAACCGTGCCGATACTTAAGGTGGTGTTTTTGCTTAGATTTGAACCACGTCGTTGTTTTGATTCCCCTTACTGTGGTCAAGATCATACGCACTATGACATCTGAATTATAACTGCCCCATTGTAGCTTATATTTGATACTTTTACTATTTTTTTTCTGGGTATATTTTTATACCTAAACTGTTCCGCGAGAACCTTAACCGACGGAATAAAGTCGTGCTTTTCGTTACGCTAATCGCATTATAATAAAACATTCTGTTGTTCGTGGCCTCAAAAAAGAAAAATGCTACTTGTATTTCTAAAAGCATCGTAAAAGTGTGATTCTGTCATTTCATATAGAACGTATCCTTAATAGGCATAATGTAAGAGTTTTATTTGTACCGTATCCGTGTGCGATTCGAGCTTGGTAAATCAAAACGATGATAGCTTTTGTGCCAGAAGCGGGAACATAAAAAAACAACATGAGGTCCATAACAAAACATGCAGGAGGTAACGGCGGGCTGTAAGTGGTTCATGCTGCACGTGTAACCCTCTCTTGCCCACCCTTTCTTGCCCTTCTGTACCCCTAACCAATCGCCCCTGCGTCGTCGGATCATCGCTCTAATGATAATAATAACAACAACAACACGTATGTGCATAGTATAAGATATAAGTGGTAGAAATTGACCGCACCCCCATTTAACTCACTCGCATCGTTGGTCTGCGTTGTCGGCGACTGTCTGTGAGCTTCGGTCATCATTCGTATATTCAAAGTCTAATACGGCCAACAGGGTTCGCGGTAGGAACGGCGCAACCGTTATATCTGTGATTGTGTTTAGGCGCTCGTATTGGATCTGGAACTTCCGTGCAGGACTGCAATACACATCAACTAGAGCGTGGGCAATCGTATATAGAAAAGAATATAAATGGACAATGTCCTACTAAAATGACTAACACAAAGGTTGAATCTGGAATAATCTGCTAAATAACGTGGGCATTGCATGAATAGAGGATTTTTTCATTCCTGTATGTATACACACACACACATATATGCATATTTGATACACTTATAAGCAAACGGGCAGCTCATAAGTTACTTGGACAAGATAGCTAATATTTGTTTTATGTTTTCTTTTTTCTTGTGTTTTTTTTGTTTTTTTTTTTTTGTACCACACATGTGTGTACACCTATAAGGCTTTACTCCATTTAATATGCCTTTCCTTTGCGGAAATATTTCCAAAGTCGTTTTTATTTATTGTCAGGAGTCACCTAACAAATTTAAAAAAAAAAGGCCGGATGATACAAATTTGTTAAAAAAAAAATCGACAGTTGTATATCTGTGGAGCAGTAAATACAGCGGGATCGAATTCTAATAGTAAGGCTAATGTCCTATTGGCCATGAGCATCTGTCGTAGAATTGTGGTAGCAGTGTTTTCTTTGGAAGCGTAGGAGCATCGAGTGACGCTCGATCATGGTGTTGCCCCTGGTAAATCATTTTCGCCTGTGACGAAACACGAAGTGTGCCGTAGTCGTCTTTCGTCACACAAATGGGAAGAGAAGGTGCACTATCTAACGAACTACTTGTCTTGTACTATCAAGATTGTTGTTTTGTTAACATTACTTAGTACATAGCCAGTAGCTCCCAGGCTCCCCTCAGAAGCAAATATCGCCTTTAAAAGCTTGAAAGGATAAAAGCATGACTCCGCATGTGGCCCTATTACTCACGCATGTTTAGTGGCTAGCGATTTAACCGGAAGGACTTGTCCGTAAGGAACTGAATAACAAGACTATCGTGCAGGCCGAGATAGATGTGTATGTTGACAAGCCATTATAGTAAAACGGATTATCGGTAAATGTTAATAATATTTTTATTATTATAAAGATTAGGCGCCTTTATTATCTTAGGGGATGTTTAAGGCCCGCAATATTGCCTTAGCATGTTACGTTGGCCTGAAATATGAAATAAGTGTTGCTTCGGAATCATCATCAGATTTAATGAGGCACATCCGGCTAATCC